CGGCATCCTCTCCTTCAACTCCTCTGCCAAGCCTGTAAGGGAAGTGCCTAGAGAGACTCTAACACAAGCAGTCTCTGGACAACTATCTAGGCACTGGCAAGCAACCTCTGCCATAGACACATGTGGGTTGAGAGTTTCTTTGTGGTGCACGCATTCTTCTCCACATAGTCTAGGGGTAGGAGCAGTTGCAACTCCTACCGGCCGTTGCCTTTTGTTGCCTGTGCAGCAAACTGGGCCCCTCTATACATAGGGCAGTATATAATAATATGCCCCGGATCACCGCAATAAATACATTGATCCTGGTTTATCCTTTGCTGCCATACTGTTTTCTCTAGGTCCAAATTTTCCCAGGGCTTGCCTTGTGGCAAGCCAGGGTGCCATCCACCTCTCCTGGGAGGTGATCAAGTGAAACGAGAGCAGTTTGGCGGGGGACCTTGACCCCTACCTCCCACTTGGCGGTTTCCTCTGCCGCCAACCTCCTAATCTCTCTGTCCTTGACCACCGGAAGCCTGGCCCCCTTGTCCCCGGCCTCCTCCTCTTCCTTGCGGCCTCCCTCCAGCCGCGACCGCAGCGTAAGTACTCCCTTGACTCACACGACTGTCCTCCTCCTCGAGGCCCTACTCAATCTAATTGTAGGGGACCTCTTCCATACCACCCTCATCTAAAGGATCAAATGATCCTTGGCCCTGACTTGGCCAGAGATGGTATGACCCTTCCACTTTTTGCCCTTGTCAAGGTCCTTATGCCAGAAAGTGGAAACTGGCATGGACTGCGACTCGAAAGCTACCACTTCCCTACTCAAGATATCGTAGGTCATGGCGGGCTCCTTATTCTTTTTTAAGAAGTGCCCGCGCAATGGCTCGGGCATGGCACGATAGAATAGGTTGACCAGTTGGGTCTCAGTGAACAATTACCAATTCATCCATCACCCCCTTGAGTGCCCTAGCACTCTTCCACTAGCGTGAGTGGATGGTCTGAAGCTTGTCGGAGGCCCTAATCCCTCTAGTGACATCAGCAAATCTCTCGCGCAACGACTTCAGGAATGCGCTCAGGGAGGTTTTCGCGGAGTACGCTACCATGTCATTCTCGCAGTCAGTAGCGCGGGCAAGCGATAGGGCGAAGCTCGCTGCCTCGGCCCTAAGGGCATGGAACGCAATTAGAACTTGCTCCTCAGGCACGATCTTCTGGAGGTGAACATACAAATTGATGTTCGCCTTCCAGTTGTCGAAGTTCTCTTCCTTCTTCCCACTGTAAGGATCAGGGAACTTAACGTTAACTGGATCCCTACGGGGGCGTGCCTCCTCCTCCCTTGGAGCTGGTAACTTGGCGCCTTCTATGGCGCCAGTGCAGAATCGTTATGTGCTTTCATCCTCGCCTTTACTTCCGTGCCCACGTGCATCATCATTTCTCGTGCGAATTCTCTAAACGCCAATTTGATGGACCGCAAGGTTACATCTTGGCTTCTGAAAAATTGATGCTGCTCCTCCTAAGCCCTTGCTAGAAGTTCTATGTTCCACGCCATCACTTCCATTTTCCCCAGAATATCTGCATGCGCCCCCATTCGTGGTCTTTGTTCCTTCACTGCCTCCAATTCTTTCGCCACCTTGCTGGCCTCTTCCATTCGTTTCTTCTTCGCTTTGGTCATACGCAACTTCCACTCCAACTCCTCTTTTATGGTCCGACGTTTTAAGGGGTCCTCTTCTGTTTCCAACTCCCTTACCACTTCCTTTTGTTCCGCCCTGGGGACATATAGCATCGCCTCCTCTTCTTCTCCCAGGGATAGATTTGCAACCCACTCAGACACCTTCCTCTCCAACCAAGGGTCCTCCTGCTTCGTGCCACTAGATTCCCCTCTCGCTTTGATGACCTTCCTGATCAAGGGGACCTCTTCCACCTTTTTCTCTTCTTCTTCCTCTTCGGCTTCTAGTGCTTTCAACTTCTCTTCTTCCTCTTTTTTCAACTTCTCCAACTCCTCCTCCAATTTCTTCTTCTTCGCGGCCTGCACCTCCAATAAGGCCCAACTTTTTGGCCTGCTTCACAACTTCCCTCTTCTCCTTCCTGGCCTTTTGCTCGGCCAGAATCTTGGTGGCCTCTTCTTCCTGCTCCTTTGTATAAGGAGTGGTCCCAGTTCCACCCCTCGTTTCCACTCTACACGTAAAAGTGTTCCAGAATCCTAGCAGGAACAGGGATCGCGAGATGGTCCCCCAAAGGGAGAACCCCACGAGGAAGCCGTACATAGGGTAGTCATCCATGGTGTTGGGTGCACGACAGTGACTGTCCCACTCCTCACCACTTAGACCTACCCACTTGACTGACTGACTGAGGACTACAGGATCCGTATAGGACCTTGTCAGCTATGGTCAGCTATGGTCTCTAGCCTGGACCTTGTCAGCTATGGTCAGCTATGGTCAGCTATGGTCAGCTATGGTCTCCGCACTGCTTGACGACGACTGCGCATGCAATAGCGGGAACCAGCTCCGATACCAATGAAATCAGACTTGCTTTCTTCTTCATACAACATGCATGCAAACAGATGGCGAAGCACACTGGCTCTGGGCGCCCACACAACTCAGATACAAACTTACTTCAGGATGAATATGGCGATTGCACGCCTTCACTTCACTTATCCACATCCACGGTTTACACGCACTCAACTCTGCATCTCCCTGGATATCTCACACACACTCACACTGTACTTCGCTCACCCTCACTTACACCCTGAAACACTATCTCTAACCTATGGCGGCTGTGGCTGCTCTCTACCACTAACACTGGACGCTGTCTCCTTCAGCCCACTTCGTCTTCGGACATCTGCAGACCACCTCACACAAGACGCCTGGGCAGCGCTTCAGCGTGGCTCAGGCAGGGATGAATGAATGGTTGGACGCTGCCTCTTAATTTATACTTCTGTTGGTCACTGGTCTGCTCCTTTTTCCACCGGGCCCTTGGTGCACACAGTCCCGCATGGTACTTGCTGACTGGACAAAGTGAGACTGGGACTGGGTACCGCTGACTAAGCAAGGTTGGACTCAACACTTGCCCACTTGCCTCTGGTCTGCTGTGAACAACGTTCGAAAGGCCACTTCCGGACCTTCCGAAAATCTGCAGACTTGGTCTTTCGGAACTGTAGCAGCTACGACCTTGACCTTTCAACATTGCTACAGCTACGGTCTCTACACAACTATGACCCCTACTCGACAGACCTACGGTTCAAGACCCGACAGCTACACCGACCTNTTTCAACATTGCTACAGCTACGGTCTCTACACAACTATGACCCCTACTCGACAGACCTACGGTTCAAGACCCGACAGCTACACCGACCTATGACAGACAACAGCTGACTCCTAAAACACAGGTCACGGGTTCAAAAACACAGGGGTACTGTACACGGGTGAGGTGAGGTCTAGGGATCGAGCCCTGGTATCTGCATCTGCTACCGCAAAGGTGAATACCGTTTTAACCCCCTCCCACTCCACCCCCCTGACCCCCCCCCCCCCCCCCCCCCCCCCCCCCCCCCCCCCCCCCCCCCCCCCCCCCCCCCCCCCCCCCCCCCCCCCCGCCGCCCACCCTTCCTGCCAACAAAGAAACATTTTGGCAGAAAAAGAGTTTGGGGCCAAAAGCATGCCTAACCAAAGACCCTGCCGAGGAGTAAAACAAATTGCCGTGTGGTTGGCGGCCTCCAAACAACACAGCCGTCCGCCCCTCTCATCACTTCCCTCCTGCCTGTCGCAGCCACCCACATGCCCCGAATGTCACAGACATCCGCCCTTAGCTGTAGCAGATGGAAAAAGACCATTCGGAAGTCATTGAAGAAAATCCGGCACTACCAATGAGCCTAGTTCAGTTGGTACACCCACTAACTGTTGAAATACAGACCCAACTTACAATCAGATGACCAAAATAAAATCATTCTGAATTACCTGGGGCCGGCCAGTTCAATGATGATATCTCAAGGCCATCGTCTTTTTAAGGTAAGAGAAAAGAAGAAAAACAAAAACAAAAACAAAAACAAATCCTGCACTCTTGGCTGCACAGAGACCTGTCCCATCGTTTCCTGGGTCTTCTGTGGGCCCGCTTCGCAAGATCCGGGTTATCCTTTTATAGAGATAGAAATACCACTACATTGACGAGAATCGCTATCCCGGCAGGCAGTAACTAACTGACCTTCTGCACTGCTCGATTTTAGGATGCTGAGTGGCCTGGATGGGATGCAGATGGTTTCTCAGGCAGATCGACATCCATTGCAGGCTAGAAGAAACCGGACAGGTTTGTGTATTTGTCACCTTGGAAAATGATGTGCTTGCAGTCTAGACCATGCATCTGCTGATTGGTGGGTCAGTACTGCATGTGCGCCACATTTTGCTCAGAGGGCCGAATGTGGTACTACTGGCGCACATTTTAGGGGCTCGGTGAATGCCCAGCGCTCGGGCCAGCTGTTTGTGCCACCAAAAAAAAAAAAAAAAAAGGCTACCCAAGGAGGTGCAGAAAGCGATTGCGGACCGCCCTAGACTCAAGGCACCATGCCTGGACGGAATGCAGGTGGGGCTATACAAGGATTATCGCAACTTCTCTACTCTGTTAACAGCAACTTACAATTAGGCACTCTGGTATGGCCCCCTTCCACAGGGCCTTGTGGACGCATATGTAGTCTTGGTGTACAAGAAAGGGGCAAAGGAGGATGTGCGCAACTGGCAACCAATATCGATCTTCAATGCGTTATATAAAATATTGGCCAAGATACAGGCATCCCTCGTGAGAGAAGTGCTACCGTGCATCATCGATCAAACTCAAACGTTATGGCAGCCCTACCAGACCAGAAGCAGGCGGGTTTACTCTGGCAAATTTACCACCTGGTAATCCCAACTGCGCAATGGCAAGCCACGAAAAGTCAATATAAGGATCAGACATGTTCTGCGGGATGTGGCCAGGTTTGAACTATCCCTCATCTTTTTGTGCGATGCCTGGAGGTCTGGGCTTTCTGGCAATGGTGGGCACAGGAAGTTGCAGATGGGGCGCACCTGAATGTTGATGAGATGGATGATGCAGAGATCCTCTGGGGAACCTTGATTAAGGTAAACAAATTGGCTTTGGGGGAATTGATGGCGGAAGAGATTGTGAGAGCTGCGGTGCTAAGGGCCTTGTGGATGCTGTGGAACGAGAGACGCAGGCAGGTGCGACCCCGCTGCTACGGGCATATCAGATATCAGAGGAACGTGCCTTAGAGAACGTCAGGATTGCCCTGTTGGCAGATCTACATTGGTGCCGGCGCACAGGGGGGAGGGAGGCCGGGTTTTGGGAAAGAGGGAGACCGTAGCTTCAGTTCTTGACTAGGAATCCACACACAGACCAACTGCAGTTTGGCCCCATCTTGGCACGTTATGTTCCTCAGCTGGAGACCGAGGATGAAGAGGAATAGGGTACAGCCCTGACAGATTGGATTGCAGTTTTGAAACATATGGGACATAGAGAAAGGTGGGGGACAGGTGGGATTGTAGATGTACCGTACTTACGATAGGAGGCTTCCAGGGGATAGAAGGGGCAAGATAAGGGGAAGTTGAAGAAGATAGGGGTTGGGCGATAGGGAGGTGAGTTTCACAGAAAAGGGGGGGATAGAATTTCAGACAAGGTGTGAAAATTGGAAAAAATGGGGCAACTTGAAAATATGGACAGGATACTGTATGAGTCTATGAGAAGATGGTAGACGGGCAAGGGACGAGGGATGGTAGTAGGTGGCAAATGCAATATAAGCAAAGGAAGTAGGTAATCTGAGTAGGATGGTATCAAGAGATATGGGAGAACAAGTAAAACTGGTAAGGAGAATAGAACTTTATAGAGGGAGCATGACTATAGATAGAGACTGGTGTTATAGGAACAAGTCTGTTTGGATTTTTCCGAGAGGACTTGGTTTAGAGGAGGAGACAAGCGGCCAGCGAGGTTGCTAGGCTCTCCCCCTCCCCCACGCCCCGTCACCCCTGGGACCCTTCTGCTGCGTGTCTGGGTGGTGCTAGTAAGCATCCCGGCCAGCAGAAGCATCCCGGGGGAGGTTATGGTTTGGGAGGTGGGATGGCATGCAGCAGTTCACCCCTTGACAGGCGACTAGTACCGCAAGGGCTTGGCCGATTTCTATCCCTGCTACTATCTCACCTTGAACTCATTCTTGACGGTGATAAGCAACCGGACTGATGCCCCCCAGAATAGATGAGGTCTTGTGTGGTTAAAAAACAAAAAAAGAAAAAGAAAAAAAAGCACTTTCTTAGTGGTGGGCACAAGAAATTGCAGACAAGGCACCACTAGACATCATGGAGGCAGATGACGCAGCAATTCTCTTAGGAACTCTAATTAAAGTCAACAGGCCGAAAATTGAGGAGCTGATAGCAACGGAAATCATATTCGTGGCAGTACTGTGGGGCTTGTGGATCCTGTGGAATGAATGATGTAGGCAGGGAGCATCCCCACCATTGCAGGCATATCAGGAAAGAGTATTGGAGAACATCAGAGTGGCCCTCCTGGCGGACCTCCATCGCTGTAGATGCACAGGGGAACAGATGGAGGTAGCCTTCTGTGAAAGATGGGAAAGATGTGACCCTTACCCTCAACTGGTGATCTGGGACCCCCAGACGGGTCAGATGGGGTTCGGGCCATACTTGCGGCGCACCTATGCTCTGCGCCGTGCGGTGCAGTGTGCCATGCGCCGTACACACATGGGTGTTGTGCGCGCACATACGCACCACGCGCACTGCACGCGCAACTGCAGTGCGCTGCAGTACGCACCACAACACCCCATGCCCGCGCATGTGCGGATGTGCCTTTTCCCCCTCCCCTCTGTGTGTGTGTGTGTGTGTGTGTGTGTGTGTGTGTGTGTGTCCGTGTGTTCTAAATGGCCCGTATAATGGTATAACACGAAACTGAAAAAAAAAAACGAAAAAAACAAGTGACCTGGCTTTCTTCCCTTCGTGAGGGATGTATCTTGACGCCTGTCGGGGCAGGATGCACTGGTTTCCCTTTTGTCTCGTATGCTGTGGGGACGTTCGCTTACAGTACCCGACAAGGGCAAAAGGCCCTTTCAACAGAACCCCCGTCTCTTCAAAGGGGAAAAAAGAGAATGCCCGTAGTCCACCACTCACCAATGGTGCAAAAAGAGTGTGAATCTTCGACTGGCACATGGAAAGATACACCGCCATAAGCTGTGTCTTTTGTGCAGAGGTGAGGGTCCCCCGCCACTCACCAGTGCACAAAAGACAAAGCTTATGGCGGTGTATCTCTTCAGGTTCTAGCAGAAGATTCATTCTCATTTGCCACAATTGGTGAATAGTGGACCGAGGCCCTTATCAGACGGGGATCAGACCTGTCAGAATCCCAACGGGCTTGCAGAAGGTAAGTCCAAACAGCCCACAACGTGCCCTATGCGAGACTGTATGGGGCTAGAAAACTGACATATGGTGGGAGTACATGTCCACGCTTTAGCGATAGATACGTCCTCATCGCTTAGCCTGCCCTCCATGATGTTCTCGTATGTTTTTGTTTTTCGTTATTAGCGAAAACGAAAATAGCAAAAACAAATAACGGCTGCTGTCAGTTCTGTGGCATTCTCTTTCAAGCTCCTGACAGAAATAGCCGTTATACTGCACACCATAGTGAATGCAATCCGTGTTAATGTAACTGACATGATGTAGGGCTTGTGTGCACTCGGGAAAGGCTGCAAAATACTAGAAGACATCCGTACACAAATAAAACAAAATTTTTGGCACCCACTTAGGCCTGGACCCCACTGCCCGGCGGCTGGAAACTGATGTTGGCCACAAAAAACGGCCGAGCGTGGTTGGTAAGAACGTGCCGCGTTTCGTTGGGACCCCACTGTTGCCCTTGGCTATCGGCACTGGAAACGGATGGACATGTCCGAATAGGAAATCCCCCGGGGGTGTTTCCCGAAAAGGCAAGTCGAGCCGGGGCTGTGGTCCAGGCCCTTCTATCGGCCTGCACCAGGACATGTCCGTGTGTGGCCGTGCGCAACCCGGTGTGGCGGGTGCCGCACAGGTACCGTGCAGCACACAACGGCCTCACGGGGTCCGCTCGGTCGGTGGGGCGCGATTGTGCACGAAAATGACCATTGGGAGCATCGGCGGATGTCCCCCCCTACCACACTCCTGCCGTCGGTACTAGTTTTCCCCGATGCGGACCATCCAGAGTGGGAGTGCACGTACGGAGCAGTGACGGGAAGCCATGGCCGTCGACGCAGGAGGAGGGTTTGGCGAATACTGGTCCGCGAAGGTAGTGCGCTCGTCAAGTGGCCACGACAGCTGGTGTGCAAGGGTCGACGCAGTTCCCATCACAGTCACAGCGTGGCCATGTGTCTATCGGATTTGGGCAGTTCGGAGGACGAGTGTGAAGACATGATGTTCATGCTCGTTCTCCTCGTGACCCAGTGGGTGAACAGGCGCAATGCTGCGGCCATGGCCGTGCTTGAAGTTGTCGCCATCACCCCGTTCATGTTTCGGGATGTGTCGGGGATGCTTACGATGCTTTCAGGGGGGGGGGTTCACGACATGGCGTTGAGCTGCTTGGCGGAGCAGGAGTTGGGAAGACACATGAAATGGAGAAGGCGATTGTGGATGGTGGAGCGTAGCGGAGGTTTGTGGAAGGACCTTCAAACGGTGGGTGTAGAGCATGATAAGGTGTTCTTGCAGTTCTGCAGACAACCACGACCATTGTTTTTGCAAGTTCTTCAGCGCATTGGGCCCCATATCCAGCGTTCGCCTACTAATTTTCGGTTGCCCATACCATCGGGGCAAAAGTTTGCTTGCGCACTCATCCGGTGGGCAACGGGCGGGTACTACCAATCCGCCCACAGTTTGGGTATGGGCCTTGCGAGTGCATCGAGAAGCAGCGAGGATGTCGCCGATGGTATCCTCCAGGAGTACAACCACCTCCTCCAATTCCCTACAAGACGCCATTTGGAAAAAGTGCTAAATCCTTTCGAGGCGAAGGGGTTCCCCGGATGCGTGGGGGCCATCGACTGCACACATGTGTATATCGATAAGCTGAAGGGGACGCGGTCAGAGTGCTACTATCATCACACTGGAAATTTCTCGGTCGTTGTGCAGGTCATGTGTGACAACGAGTGCAGAATTGTCAGTGTGTATGTCGGTTGCGCTGGGTCGGTGCACGACTCGCATGTATTGCGGATGTTGCCATTGTACCACAACACCATGGCAGGCAGAGGTGTGTTATGAGAGGACGGAGCTATCATGCATGACGGAAGACATGTCAGTCGTTACCTGCTTGGCAACGCCGGCTACCCCCTTCTCCCGTGGATCATGACACCTATGGGTAGATTCGCGAGAACTGATGCAAATCGGACATACGACGAGTGTCACGCAGCGGCGAGATCTTGCATAGAGCGGACATTCAGATGATTGAAGAGCGTATGGAGGAATGTCATCCGCACTCAAATTGCGAACTTGGAAACCCTGTGCAAGGAATTCATGGCTGTGTGCATACTACACAACTTCATGATCGAGCACAGGGTGGAGATCGATCCAGCCCTGTTGAACCACAACAGCGATAGTGACGGGAAGGGTCCACCACGCAACCTCGTCCCCGTCGGTGCCGCCGCCGACGAGTGCCACATCATATTCCTGACCTCAACATCGAAGCCGTGCCGAAGCTTGATCCCAGTTATGGCTCCCACCTCGGAACGAGGGTCAGGGCTAGCTTGATTGATCATGTGGCCCATCATGTCGATGTTCATGATGCACCGACGCCATGTCCGTGGCGATAGTGCAATCGTGGATGTGTGGTAGTGGGAATGTCGGAGCCGACTGCCGTTCAGGTGTCGGGGTGTGTGTGTGTGTGTGTGTGTGTGTGTGCGTGTGTGTGTGTGTGTGTGTGTGTGTGTGTGCGTTCGAACCTGTTGCACCGAACAACTGTTGATTTTGTTGCGAAGGAGAACATCCCGCGAAATCTCTCCTTCTCTCTCTCTCTCTCTCTCTCTCTCTCTCTCTCTCTCTCGATTCGTCACTGCACTAACTTCACATGCCAATCAATCGAGTCGTTTTTTGGAAATTGCAATTCATGCACTGACCGCAAGTGGAAGATTGATCGATTGATCAATTGATCTCTTGATGAAATGTTTGATCGATTGATTGATTGATTGATTGATTGATTGGTTGATTATATGATTGATTGATTGAATGTATGTTGGTTTGCCGGAGGAGTGATTGAACGATTGGTTGACAGAACGAGTGGTTGATTCTTTGATGTTTGTTGATCGATTGGTTGATTGTTGTTTTCATTTGTGGATTCATTCGTCCCTTGGTATATATATAGCCAGCAAGTTGTTAGATCGCAAATGCGGTTTTCAACAGAAAGAAAAGGAGAAAAAAAATGAAATCGTTTTCTTATCTTCTTCCATACAACCCCCTCTGTTCAGGACCTCTTGAGTACAAAGCCGCCCACGTGGATGTAGGTTGAGCGGCGGCTGCTCCCACCCCCATGTGTCATATCGAGCCAGTTGCGGTCGGCGAAAGGTCAAAGAGGCAAAGAAAAGAGGCGTTGAACAACCAAATACAACAAAACAGGGGGCAACAAGCAACAACACCAAAAACGGATCCTAGATGACAAGTCCCACATGCAAGCACCGCCCCTCCTTCACGGGCCAAACGACGGGACGAGACCACCCAGGACAAAACTCTTCTCTGCAAACAAAGCTATATACAGCAGATGGCCTTATTATTCATCAAGACGTGGGTATTCCCATTCCTAAACCATTAATGCTCTCATAGGCCGAACAACATTAACAAAAAAAAAAAAATGGATGACTGGTCCCACATGAAAGCACCGCTGCGCTCGCCAAACTAGACCGAACAACGGGACAAAACCAATGGGGATGCAGATAAGGGTGCAAAAAAGCAAACATAATAACACAAATGAACCTAAAGTGTTACACTCCATACCGAGTACACTCCATACCCAATAAACTCTACGTTCACACGGAGAGAGAGAGAGAGAGAGAGAGAGAGAGAGAGAGAGAGAGAGAGAGAGAGAGAGAGAGAGAGAGAGAGAG